CAAGAAAAGGAATCTGACGTCATAATACTGCCACCACCGTGTTTCACAATGGGTATAGGAACATTTTGATCCATGGAGATGTAGTTTTTTTGTTGCATTTACTTCCTCTTTTTTATCCTGCTGGTTTCAGATATATATATATATATATATATATATATATATATATATATATATATATATATATATATATATATATATATATATATATATATAGATATATATATAGATACAGTTATAGATATAGATAGCGTTTTACTGTCCGGATGCACAAAGACTCAACTTCCATGAGTCTTTAATATATTCTTTTACTTAGACTTAGAGTTTATTGACATTTTGTACACACAGAGTGTATACACAAAGAAACTACGTTCAGTGCATCTTTCAAGACATTTTCATTTGTTAAAGTGCAGCACTGATAAATGTAAACATACGACTGTATGAGTTACAGTTTCCAATATTTAGGTTTTTTTTGTTTTGTTTGTTTTTTAAACTCAAAACTTTCCTTTTCTCAACATTTTGCATTTCTTGCCAAAGTACTAAAGAGTAATGCTGGTGTTTTTTAAGTCACCAGTTTAGTCAACATGTTGCAGTAATGGAAAATTTAGCTTTGTTTGTGAAAGCATTTGTATCTTTATTATGATTGTATTTTAAAGAGAACTGGAACACATTGAAAAGAACAAATGACTTATGGATGTTGATGATGATGCTGATGGCAGCAGCACAGCTGATATTTCTCTCCAGTATGGAGTCACAGCCAAACAGGAACAAACCTTATGAAGCTGCTATGATGAGAAAAAGCAGAGAGAGCAGAACAATAACGTTAGAGATCATACTGACAAATACTGTAGAGTGGGAGAATAGAGATAGAATGGAGCAAAAGGAGGGAGTCTTTATGTCCTCCTGCAGTCTAAGCCTATAGCAGCATAACTATAGAGATAGCTCGGGATCAGTGCTGAAGCATAAGAACGTCACATATGGAGGCTAAAATACATCATGAAATAGATATCTAATAAGGAATTTATTATTAACATTAAAATTCAATAATTTATCTATACCATGATTTAAATATCAAATAAACAAACTTTCCCATTGAATAATAAAAATTACATTTTAAATCATAAGTTTAAATCATAAGAAACATAATTGAAAATGTTTAATCCACACATCATAGAATCTAGAAAGAAATGTAACAAAAAAAGGGACCAAATAAATCATTAAGGCAACCATGAGAGCATGAAGCTATCTTCCATCAGTCTCGTTTAATGCATAGAAGTATAAAAGCATCAATTAGCATCAATTTATCCAGTCATTGAATTGGACCTTCAGAGGACGTTGTTAAAAGAAGAAGTTCTGCTATCAGTAGTTATGATGAAATATTTGAATGTGTGGTTAGCTTCATATCAGCTTTTATTTTGTAGACATAATGGATGTGCAAATATCTTTGGTTTAAAGTAGAAAGTGGGAAGGCAGCAGATGGTGCCCACGTCTGATAAAAAAAGTTTATTTGGGGGTTATGAGGGATGGAAAATTTCTGTTGCCTTGCTTCCAATTTTTCCTAAATTTCCTGCCAAGACCAACACTCCTCCCATTAAACAGCTACTTTGGAGCTGAAATGGATTCTACTCTTCACAGATCTGTATATCAGGCCTGCGCATTATTTATTTATGAAGAGTTATTTTCTGTTTTGGAATCGAGAAGCAAACAACCTGCATATAATTCTATTCAGTTTATTTATATAGCGCCAATTCACAACACATCTCAAGGCACTTTACAGTTCAACCAGATCATACAGTCAAATTGATTCAAAGTTTACTATCTAAGGAAAACCAGTTGATTGCATCAACTCATTGATTCGAAGGTTATCCCTCACACTAAGCATGCTTGTAGCGACAGTGGAGAGGAAAAACTCCCTTTTAACAGGAAGAAACCTCCAGCAGAACCAGGCTCAGTGTGAGCGGCCATCTGCTGAGGCCGACTGGGGTTCAAGGAGACAGAAGCAGAGACACAAAAAGCATCTGTGAACGGTGGCCCCATCCAGGAAACACACAGCCAGGCAGACGAGCTCCGAGCCAGCTCCCACCCCGTGTTCAGGGTGAAGTGCAGTGTTTTACATCTAGGTCAGAAAGTAATGTTTTGTTACCCACTGATCAGATAATCTCCTTCCCTTCTGTTTGCTCTGTTCCTTACGTAGTTTATACCAAACTTAAAACAGTTTTTTTTTCTATAAATTCACCCCCATCTTGCCTCATTCCTTTTTTAAAGGCCAGATTTTTGAAGAGCACAAGTAATCAGCATAAACATTAAATATACGGCTTCTTTCTCATGAATCCTCTCTTTACCTGGGTTCTCTGTTTTAGTGGCTATAGGGTGATATGATTCCTGGTGGCAGAATTAAAGTTGTTATACTGACGGCTCTCTTTTAACTTTTTATTTACAGTTTTGTGTCATTTATCGAGTATTATTATTGTATCCTTGAGTATGGAAATTAAATACCTACAACTGTGAGAAGAGGAATAAGAAGAAACATAAATTCCTCATAAATCTCCCATAAAACAAACAGAAAAAGGAAGCACGTCTCATATGCATCTTACTTTTCTTAATATGGTCTTAATAAATAAACAAAACAACATTTCTTCATGACAGAATTTCCTGAATCTTACAACAACTTCATCAAGTCTTCATCAAGATGCTAAGAAATGCTGAAAGAGCGCCACCTTTGGTCTAAGAGACAGGTATTCAAGTGTAAAACTTCATTTCTATTTATTATTTTTTTTAGGTTTCAGTTCTTTGAAATTTGCTGTAATTATTATTATTATTTATTTTGTTTTGCAGCTAATGATAAAAGTAATAAATATTTAATTTACATTAAAATCCTGATTTGATACGACCTTCAATAATTAAAAATTCCCAAAATGTTCACAAGTTCCACCATGATATCTCTGTAGTATTTGTGATCCCAGAATATTTGTGTATATTGTCCTATTTCCACACATTATCCTCAATAATGTTCCACTGAAGGGCCTTTTACAAAATTAGACATAATAACAAGGCTATAAAAAAATCTAGCTCTCAATTTTCCATGAAATTCTCTTCATAATTGACAATTAAAATCCTCTCCACATATTATTTTATCTTCATCTGCTTTCAGGGATTTAATTCCAGTCTCCTCTTTTATATGCCAAATATTCTGGGTGGTAACAGCTGTGAGCCTCTTATAAAATATAGAAACATGTATTTTAGTTGGTATTTTCTTTTCTATAGTATTGTTCTTTATCATTTGGATCTTTATTAATTATCTCCTTCTCTTTATGATCAATAATGTAATGTCTGGTATAGAGATATCTATACATATCAGCAGGAAGATCAAAAGGCTCCCTAATTTGGCAGATTTAGAGCTTTTTTCTCCAAACAATGGGATGAGAGTTATGAGACCTTTGATTATATTTTCAAATTTTGTGGCAAAAATAAATTTTTTATCATTGCAGGTTTATTTTAGTACTGTAAAAGTATCCATAGCTGTATATTGGTTATTTATTCTCCAGATGCAAAGTTTTTTTTATATTGTTAAAACACTTTACAGTACAGTATTTTATTTGTTTATCTTTTAACTCTTCACTGTTATGTTGTTTTTATACATGTTTCTAAGGTCCACATTTCAGGGGTAGAGCTAGATGGGGGACCAGGGCCACCCTTAGCCAATTATTGGCCACTCCTGTGGCCGACCCCTACCATTTTTTCCCTCTAATACAGACGGTGGCAGCAGTAATACTCTGAAAGGGGAATGCTTAAACTTATTTAACATTTATATTTTCCATATATTAACAACTACTTGACTACAGAAACACTGGTTAGTTATGTACATCAATATGCAAACATTAAAAATGATAGATACAGAATTCATGCTCTTTTCAGAAGTAAATTTTGAAATATTTGGGGTAAAGAGAAATTTATGTGCCTCTGCAAGTCATCTAGGAGTCTAAATCATAGATAAATAATTACTTTAATAGTAACTCAAAAATTTGTTAAATGTGGATATTAGTAGATTTTAATATAATTTTTTTGCAGAATGATTATTGATAAAAGTAGGTAATGACACCTGAAATATGTTCGCCCCAGAACTCAAACCTGAAAGAATTTTGTTCCCTATGCCTTTTATTTACATATTTACATGTAGATATTTAAATATATGTTTCTATTTGTTAGCAAAGGCTGCAGGAAAGTATAGTTTGGCTTTACTTAAAAAATATGGATGTTGTGCTTATTCCTGTTGGAACAGTGTAGATTGACTGAGGTTTTGGTAGCTTTTGGCCACCCCTCAATGTACATTGGTTATTGACTAATTTTGTCACAGATTTTTCAGTTGAATTCCTGCTTTGACTTTGACTAGGCCGTCCTTGAGCCTTGGGCATAGCTTTATTTTAATCTAAATTATTTATTTTTTACTTTAATCACTTTAGCTTTAGCCTCTAAGCAGTTTACATGCAGGATTAGCTAATGCTTACCTCCATTAGCCTTCCACAGCTTTCCTGTTACTGCTCAAGAAAAGGAATCTGATGTCATAATACTGCCGCCATCGTGTTTCACAATGGGTATAGGAACGTTTTGATCCACAGAAATGTTGTTTCTTTGTGCCATTTACTTCCTTTTTTTTATCCTGCTGGGTTCCAATATACCCCTATTAGGATTTTCTAGCTACGCCTCTGCCACATTTGTCTGATCATTTTTTTTGTATAATAATGTTTCTGTAACACCAGAATTTCCCCATTGTTGGACAATAAAATGATTTTTTTTTTTTTTTATTCTATTTAAAAAAAAACACCAATAATGCTTTAGAAGGTTGCGGGTTTGCAACTACGCGTCAGGATTACTAATTATGAATTAGGTTCAAAGCACTTTCTTTCCGTTTATATAAAATATATGAAACTCCGCATGTTAAACCTCCAGGCCACAGTGTGGCGGTGGTTCGCCCACCGACTTGAGAGGCAGCCTAAATAAGTAGGAGAAGAAGTGGTCTCTGCTGTCAGGCTCCAAAGAGGAAGAAAACATCCAGTTGTTCTCCGGAGCAGGGACTGGTGCAGCAGCCTGTGTTGAAGTGGCTCAGTAATGAGGCGGGTTTGAGAGCCGAGTCGGTACCATGGTGTGTCCGGAGTAGCTCCAGAACCGACTGATAGCACAGAAACTCAGTGCTGCTCCACTTTCCTCCGGTCCGACCGTTGAAACGCGGTGAGTTAGCCTAGCCACCGAGCATTAGCTTCTAGTTAGCCTCTCTGTTAGCAGCCATATATTGCTGTCTTCTTTAGAAAATGACATATTATTCCGTTGCATTGCTACTTAGCTTATATACATGTTATAATTTGAGCTAAAAGTTTATTTCCATGCTAAATGAAAGCTAGCTAGCCTGTCCTATGTCACCTGCTCATTTACCTTCACTTAAATGACCATATGATGAGTGTTTTGGGGCCAGTTAGAGGGATATTGCTTCTATTATGTCATTAGCGGGTTGTGACAGTTTTATAAAGCTCAGCCCTGGACTATTATCCAACATACGTGTCTTGAATGTTGGACCGTTTGAGTCTATTTCATTCTGTCCATCAAAAGCTTTACTTTTTTCAGAGTAATGATATTTTGTTGAATCCGGTGTTTTTTAATTTTTATTTTAAGGTCAGTTTAACCGATTCCTGATGAGAATGTGTATCTGGGTACATGTCGCTGTCCTGTATGTCCAGAGAAAACCAAATCCCTCTGGACTGAGAGCAGCTTTACTTTCCAGTTATATAGCTTTGTGTTTGACTTTTAGAAATACAGATTAATCATTCACTGTTTTGGCTGTGAATTTACTGTAATGTTGTTCAGATGGCACAAAGTTGCCTTGATGCTTTACTTTGATAAAAGTCTTTGTGATGTTAAAAACAACCAGTTTTCTGGTAAAGGCTGTGATTAATAACAGAATGTCTGCATTGTTGATGTTGAAGACTGCCTCCTAATTCCGAAAAGTTAAAGTCGTAGGGAAATCATATTTAAATGTCAGATCTTTCTGGCTTAAACATGTAAATAAATGTACTCTTTATCAGACCATATTGTCCCAAAAGTTAGAAAATTTCTATTTAAAAAAAATCCTGTCTAAAATCAGTTTTTTTTTCCTCGTTATCTTATGCAGGCCAGTTAGTTATACGTCAGCCTGAACACCTAAATTCGGCCAATCATATATTACCGGTCATCTGTCAATTTAATTTTTTCGGTCATAGCATCTTGATTCATATGTCGCAGCTAATATACGCAACGGTTGACATAAGAATAATTTCCTTTCCTATTGAGTTCCGTCCCAGTGTTCACGGGGATGGACGTCTGTGTCTTCAGCAGGCGTAGAGCTAACAGAACTGGCAGCGTTGTGAGGCAAGGGCTCAAACATGTACGGCTGTAAGCCTTCTACACCAAACCAAGCTTCTGCCACCTTGGCATCCTCTTCCACAACATCTTCATCCCCGCTTTCCTCCTCTAAATAAAAAAATGTATGATGGAGGAGACTCATTCACGGCCTCCGACACAAAACTCTCCTCCTCTTGCATGTTTCCTCTGTCCATAGCGTTCCTTGACAGTGTTGTTTCTAAGTCACCAATTTAGTGCTACTTGGTCCCAATGGAATTTCCCATTGGGAACCTATTAGCACTAAGTTGCTAACTGGTTAGCAAGATGCTTCCGCAAACCGGCCACAACCAAACTTGCTCGCAAACCTTCCACCACAACAATCCCGCCCCCTCGATAAACGACCAATCACATTCACTTTATTCACTCGTGTAAAGTCGTGCACCACTCGGGAGAATTCAGAAATGCAACGATTGAAACAGCCGCTTCCCTACGACTTTAAAAAAACAATCCACTGGACTTTGTTTCCAAGTTTGAAGGCATTTCGCTTCCCATCCAGGAAGCTTTTTCAATTCAATGAATTTAAATCTAATTTTATGAAATTTTGAATTGAAAAAGCTTCCTGGATGGGAAGCGAAACGTCTTCAAACTTGTAGGCAAGGTCCAGTCGGTTGTTTTTTTATAACTTTTTTGAGTGACTATTACCTGGATGACTGAGAATCTTTACCAGCAGACTGCCTCGTAACCATCTGATGTGATCAGACCCACTGGTGTAGATGAGTACAACCAAAACAGGTTGAGGTTTGATTGTGCGACTGATAGGTCAGGTTTAACCGAAAGGGACGTCATACTTTTTGTTTCCTACACATCATTTACTTGTCTGCTACAAACCGACCAACAGGTATCTAGGCAACCAGAAAATACAATATTACAGAGACGTGTTACTGATTACCTTTAGGACTGATTTCAGAGGCACAGGGTGGTCTAAGGCAGCAGGTAAATGTTCTATTTCATAATGAATAATACAAAAATCCTGGTGTACTTTGAACATTCAGAAAATGAAGACATTGAATTCATATCTGTTAAATGCTTAAATCAAATTTAGTAAAGTTAAACAGCAAACAAGTCACAGTGTGCAGGGCGAGAGGCATTAAATAAAATCTAAATAAAAAACATTTAATAATAATAAAATGTTGAATTGTTTCTTTCAACTTTATTACTGAATTATCAAAAAAGTTAAGATACCAGTATTTTATTTTCTTCTGGGTCTAACGATTACATAATTAAAATGTCACAAGGATACACAACAAAGCTCATCAACCAGACAGCAAATTCTGGAAAGCTGAGAAAGTGTAGAGAATAAAGAATTAGACCAACCAGAGAGCGAACCTGCTACCCAGACACGGCGCCCAGGTGGTGTGCAGGAAGACCTTAGAACATTAATTTATATATAAAGGCAGCTCCTGTTCTGTAAGGTGATAGTGGAACCGACTTTATAAGGAAAGGGATGATTGTTTTCAACAAAAGAGTGTTAGAAAATTAGTTCTTAAATGCCATTTTTATAACTTTAAATCTGTTAATCTTTTCGTTTCTGCCAAACTGTGAAAAACATCCTTAATTCATTCTTCATCTTGTAAAACTTTTTCTTTCTGACAGACAGGTATTTTGATTTAAAATAGAAGGAAGTTCCTGGTATTATAAATATTGGAGTTTTTTTTAAGTATTTCCTCTAACAGATTAAATCCTGTGATGCTTCTATTTTGGTTAAGTTACTTCCTCACACTAACAGTCTAATCATTAAATGTTTTTTTTGTTTATAAACGCTGTTTTTGGTTGAAACATGGACACTCAGATATTTAGGGGGTGACTTCTGTTCCAGTATTTTTTGCAAGGATCTGTAAAATGCAATTTAAAAATAAATACAATTTGTAAAACTCAACCTGAATAACAGAGATTTAAGTAAAAATAAAAAATAAAAAGGGAAAAAGGGAAAAAAAATGAAAATGTGTTCAAAAAATGTATAAGATTTGAAATAAATTTAAAATACATTTGAATAAAACAAAGTTTCTCTCTAAACCTTTTTTGAAATGTTTTTAAAGTTTCATTTCTATGTTTGATTTAAAATGACCATTTACACTGTTTGCAACAATAATGGAACAAAGTTGGTCTTTCTTTAAAATCCCCCGTTTCCAAATTCAATGAGTTGATCTTTCCACCTGCTCTACACTCAGACTCCTGCGTACTGAAGCTGTATGTTTGCATGACAAATGTTTGCAGACTGACCTGTTCCTGTTTTAAACCCTGCAGGTGTGAATGAGTGACGTGGTGCCTCCCACAGCTCTTAGTGAAGTCCAGCTCCGCTTCCTTTGTCACGATGACATAGACAACGTCAAACTGCTCTGTGGTGACTGGTTCCCCATCGAGTAAGCTTTCAACCCTTTTTGCATGTTTAGGGTTTGGTCATTTCATTTTTTTTTTATTTTGAACTTTATTGATCTCACATTTGAGAAATTTACCTCTGTATTCAACCCATCCCCTTGGGGAGCAGTGGGCTGCCATCGTGGGGCCCCCCGGGAGCAGTGTGGGGTTAAGGGTCTTGCTCAGAGACCCAGAACTCACAAACTCAATTCAATTCACTTTATGTATATAGCGCCAATTTACAACACATCATTAGCTTCTCTTCATTGACTTCCTGTTAAATCCAGAATATAATTTAAAATCCTCCTTCTCACATATAAAGCCTTAAATGGCCAAGCTCCATCTGATATCAGAGATCTGATTGTTCCTTATGTTCCTAACAGAGCACTTCGCTCTCAATCTGCAGGTTTACTAGTGGTTCCTAGATGATGTCTCATTATTATCTATCTTCAACTCTGAGCAGCTGCCCTCCCCACAGCATACTGCTGCCACCTCCATGGTGGGATGATGTGCAGATGTTAGTCCCTGCCTTTACTTTAGGGCAGCATATATTCAGGTTCTTCTAATTCTTAATTATGCATTTTTTTGATTGGGAAAACAGACATTTATGGTTGTACTTTGTCCTAAAGCTGGGTTAAATTTTTTTTATTATTATTTGTTTTCCAACGATGTGTATTTTTGTCCCCAAAGTGGGAGTGGAGAGATGGTTTTAGAGTCTTTGTAATGTTTAATGATATGTATGGAGGGTCAAAGTATATTATGTAATAAATAAATGTCCTATGATATTAGTAGATGATAATATCTAATATAAAAGATCTAATACTTGATTTAATCAATTAATATGCCGTTAAGTTGTAAAAGTGAACAAATAATGTCACAATCGATAAACAATGAAAAACACAGTTTAAATGATAATCAAATGTTGATTTTCAATATAAATATAATTACTTCATACTTCTCATTTATCGATAATACAGTGATTGTGTGTATTTTTAGTGGGTCTGCTGTGGGTAGCTTTGGCTTCACAGCCGGAGATGTTCTGATCCCTGTTTGTCTCCAGGTATCCAGACTCATGGTATCAAGACATCACCTCCAACAAGAAATTCTTCTCCCTCGCTGCCACCTTCAGAGGAAGCATCGTGGGGATGATCGTGGCCGAGATCAAGAGCCGGACCAAAGTACACAAGGAGGTCAGTTCTGCAGCGCAGCACGAATGAAGACGTGAACAGGTGTGGCTGGTGTGAAAAGGTCTGGTGGAAGTGAACAGATGAGGCTGGTGTGAACAGGTGAGGCTGGTGTGAACAGGTGAGGCTGGTGTGAACAGGTGAGGCTGGTGTGAAAAGGTCTGGCGGAAGTGAACAGGTGTGGCTGGTGTGAAAAGTTCTGGTGGAAGTGACAGGTGTGGCTGGTGTGAAAAGGTCTGGTGGAAGTGAACAGGTGTGGCACAAGTGAACAGGTGTGGCACACGTGAACAGGTGTGGCACAAGTGAACAGGTGTGGCTGGTGTGAACCAGTGTGGCTGGTGTGAACCAGTGTGGCTGGTGTGAAAAGGTGTGGCAGAAGTGAACAGGTGTGGCTGGTGTGAAAAGGTCTGGTGGAAGTGAACAGGTGTGGCACAAGTGAACAGGTGTGGCACAAGTGAACAGGTGTGGCACAAGTGAACAGGTGTGGCACAAGTGAACAGGTGTGGCACAAGTGAACAGGTGTGGCTGGTGTGAAAAGGTCTGGTGGAAGTGAACAGGTGTGGCACAAGTGAACAGGTGTGGCTGGTGTGAACAGGTCTGGTGGAAGTGAACAGGTGTGGCACAAGTGAACAGGTGTGGCACAAGTGAACAGGTGAGGCTGGTGTGAAAAGGTCTGGCGGAAGTGAACAGGTGTGGCTGGTGTGAAAAGTTCTGTTGGAAGTGACAGGTGTGGCTGGTGTGAAAAGGTCTGGTGGAAGTGAACAGGTGTGGCACAAGTGGACAGGTGTGGCACAAGTGGACAGGTGTGGCACAAGTGAACAGGTGTGGCTGGTGTGAACCGGTGTGGCTGGTGTGAAAAGGTGTGGCAGAAGTGAACAGGTGTGGCTGGTGTGAAAAGGTCTGGTGGAAGTGAACAGGTGTGGCACAAGTGAACAGGTGTGGCACAAGTGAACAGGTGTGGCACAAGTGAACAGGTGTGGCTGGTGTGAAAAGGTGTGGCAGAAGTGAACAGGTGAGGCTGGTGGGAAAAGGTGTGGCAGAAGTGAACAGGTGAGGCTGGTGGGAAAAGGTGTGGCAGAAGTGAACAGGTGAGGCTGGTGGGAAAAGGTGTGGCAGAAGTGAACAGGTGAGGCTGGTGGGAAAAGGTCTGGTGGAAGTGAACAGGTGAGGCTGGTGGGAAAAGGTCTGGTGGAAGTGAACAGGTGTGGCACAAGTGAACAGGTGTGGCTGGTGTGAACCAGTGTGGCTGGTGTGAAAAGGTCTGGTGGAAGTGAACAGGTGAGGCTGGTGTGAAAAGGTGTGGCAGAAGTGAACAGGTGTGGCTGGTGTGAAAAGGTCTGGTGGAAGTGAACAGGTGTGGCACAAGTGAACAGGTGTGGCACAAGTGAACAGGTGGCACAAGTGAACAGGTGTGGCTGGTGTGAAAAGGTCTGGTGGAAGTGAACAGGTGTGGCACAAGTGAACAGGTGTGGCTGGTGTGAACCAGTGTGGCTGGTGTGAAAAGGTGTGGCAGAAGTGAACAGGTGAGGCTGGTGGGAAAAGGTCTGGTGGAAGTGACAGGTGAGGCTGGTATGTACAGGTGCGGCTGAAGTGAACAGGAGAGGCTGGTGTGAACAGGTGAGATGGAAGTGAACAGTTGTGACTGTGCACTGCCAGTGGTGCCTGTTTTTAGGGCGCCCCTCTGGCAAACCTCTGAAAACGTGTCTCAGGTGTGAAAGGCAAAATGAGAATAAAATTGATTGAAATTTAGACCTTAAAATAAAACCGTCCCCTTCGGTGCTTTAATACACAGCTGATGTTTTGACTAAGTCACTATCAGGTGTGATATCAAAGCATCCCTGCTTCTCTGGTGTTTAAAACAATCTGTCCTCTCCTTTATCGCTCCAACATGTCAGCTCTTATCATTTCCATTTGGGACTATTTGCATGTGTAGAATTTGCCTTCGCTGCAGGCAGTTTGCATAGCCTCAGATCCAGCCTGCATAGGAAGGATCAGGGAGAGACTGGAAGCTGGTTTCCAGTTACAAAGCATTGATAATGGTTGAAATGTTTAGCAATCATGGAGAACGTTTGATTCTGATGACTTTTTCTGTGACTTCTGCTTCCATTAGGATGGAGACATCCTGGCCTCCAGTTTTCCTGTGGAGACGCAGGTGGCCTACATCCTCAGCCTAGGAGTGGTCAAAGAGTTCAGGAAACACGGCATTGGTATGATTGCTTCCATAGGCGTCATTAAAAGGAAACAGATGTTTTATTGCACAGGCATTCATTTTAGATGATCTATTGGACGTTGATCTTCAGTGTAATCAGATCTGTTTTATTATCAGAGTAAAGCTACAGTCTGTTTTTTTTTTGGCTGAAATTAAATCATTATTTGATTTATGACATTCAAATAATGGAGGTCTATGGTGCCCGAGGCAGAAAGGTCCATAAAAGTCCACAAAAAACGTGTCAATATTCCTCCATACTGCTCGTCCAATGTATTCCAAGTGTCCTGAGTGGGTAGCATCCAGAATTTACTCGAAACGAAGTCATTTAGAATGTTTTTAGAGCATAAACAGTAGTGTATAGGATTTCCTGAAAGCGCGTTCACGAGCCTACGGAAACCGTTGCAGACCAAACCAGATGAAAGTGCGCATTCAGCGTCTGCTCTGCCGATGATGCAAGCGTAGAAGAAGAAATGTGCTGTTTACCTGTGCAAAGAAAGAAACAACGAAAGAAAAATGTCTGAGGACTTCAGTGTTGAGGAAGAGCATCAGTTCTTCGCCGAGCTGAATGCGCACTTTCGTCTGGTTTGGTCTGCCGTGGTTTCCCTAGACTCGTGAACGCGCTTTTAGGAAATCCTATACACTACTGTTTATGCTCTAAAAACATTCTAAATGACTTCGTTTCGAGTAAATTCTGGATGCTACCCACTCAGGACACTTGGAATACATTGGACGAGCAGTATGGAGGAATATTGACACGTTTTTTGTGGATTTTTATGGACCTTTCTGCCTCGGGCACCATAGACCTCCATTATTTGAATGTCAGCAGACTACAAGAAGCCTCCCAGATCTCCAGATGCATTTGAGATATCAAAAAAGTACTCCAGGGTGTTGTTCAGCATGGGGGTGAGTAGAAAATGAAGGCTAATCATGTTTTGGGTGTACTATTCCTTTAACAAATGGGGGCTAAGCAGCAAACACCCTGTAGTTGCTACAGACAACGCTGCACATGTGGTTAGTGCAGTGAAGATAATGCAGCTCATGCATGTCTGCTGTGTCCCCCCCCCCGTCACGTCTGCTTGCTCGAGTATGGCTTTACTTTTTCACTTTTAACAAACAAGTTTGCACTTTTAAGACAGTTTTGTTCACATCTCAAGTTTAAACTGTCTGATTTACAAGTTTGCACTTTGTGTTTAATGTGACAAAAAAATGTAATACATGAGTGTTTTATGGAAACACAGTTGAACCACTTTCATTATTGTAAAAACAGATCGAATCAAAATTAATCAATTTAGAACCGTTTGAATCAAAATCGAATCGATTCAGGACTTGTAAACCAGTGGATCACCAATCACCATTTTTTTTTTCTCTCTTACAGCTGATATGGCCTCAGTTGTTATAAGTACGCCATAAGTCTACCTTAGACCCATTAAGATTTAATTAGAAATAAAAGGTTCTTCCTAAGAGGAACGTGCTTTTTGTTTGCTCTTCAAAAAAAAGATAAATTTCTCTGTTTTTGATGAGGATCTACAGGTCTCACCTTAAAGATGTGATTTAATGTAGAACATTAGTTGAGGTGCAGTCCTACATACATTGTAGTTTATGAAGCTAAAGAAAAGGAAATTGATGCAGACAAGTCTGCAGGAGCTGAATGAACAGACTGTAGAGCAGAGATTAACCTATATGGGGGTTGGAATTAATCTATTATTGAAATAATCATCTACTTACTTAGTAATCGATTGTTAACTGGAGTCTACAGCCTCTAAAGTATGCTTGAAGCTGAAGCCAGACCTACTTAGAGCAGTAATTATGTCAAAATTGTAAAAGAATTATGTAAATATTTTGCATTTTAGATGGAAAAAAATAGTCTGTCAACATGCTCTATCCAGACGTTTTAGTTTGACCTGGTTTAATTTCATAAAACGTCTTCTTTAAGGAACCTTTTTTTATTTTATTACTCGTAAATTCCACTCCAACATCCTGTGAAGTGTTTGATGTTCAGTAGAGGTTTGATGTTTTAGTGATGGAGCTCTGTGGCTCTCCTCGTCCCCCTCTACCCACCCAGGCTCCCTGCTGCTGGACAGCCTGAAGGAGCACATCTCAACCGTCGCTCAGGACCACTGCAAGGCAATCTACCTGCACGTCCTCACCACCAACAACACTGCCATCCACTTCTATGAGAACAGGGACTTCAGGCAGCACCACTACCTTCCCTACTACTACTCCATACGCGGCGTCCTCAAAGACGGATTCACCTACGTGCTCTACATCAACGGCGGCCATCCGCCCTGGACAATATTATATCCTTTCACTGCAGTGCAAGTTTATGGCATCATTCAAAAGCATTTATACCCTTTAAACCTGTTAGACATTTTCCCACTAAACTTCTATCTATTTTAATAGGATTATAGAACATATTGATTAAAAAGAGGGAAAGGATGCTTGGTTTCCACCCATTATTAGATGGTTAAACAGTAAAACAACAGAGCAAAAAGCAGAAGTATTTTTTCTTAAAATAAGTGATTTTTTTCTTGAATTAAGGTAAGTGAGACACTTTGCCAATAGAACAATTTATATTTAAAATAAAAAAAACAATTGCATTGTCTTATTTCAAGTGTAAATGTCTTATTTTAAGAGTAAAATACTTAGTACATTGGCAGGTCATCCTATTTACTCACTCAAATTAAGGTTAAATACACTTCATTTAAGAAGTTTTCTAAAAAAAAATCGTTTTTGCAGTGAAGGAGAGTGTTTTTGGTTACTCTGGAGGATCTGCAGAGATTTACAGCTTAGGTGGAAACTCTGTGTTATAGTGGCAACAAGAAGCCATTAAAAAGTCCTGTCTGTACATACAGAGCACTCATATGGGGGCGGAGCCTCATATCTCTGGAGAACCAGATTCTTAGAAATAGAGCTAGAGACTAAATATGTGATAAAGACCCAATTATGATGCGTTCACTCTGAGATGTTTTAAATGTAAGTGGCGTCTGGTTTACTTGGCGGATGCACGTCACTGAGGGGTTCTGGGAAAACTTTAGCTGCCTGTATTCACAGCACTGCCCTGATGATACTGAAATGCTGTTTACTATAGCCCCATTTTCACTACTAGGGGTGTAAATCACACCCATCATGGCGATTCGATTCAGTATTGATTTCCTGACCCAACGATTCGATTATTTTCGATACTCAAAAATACATAATCTTTTTCCTCCGCCATGTCTGTCTTGCCTACTGTTTACGCGACTGTGTGTGCATGCGGAAAGAGGGTAGTGGCTAAAGGAAGCGAGGTAGGAGAGAAAAACAGGTTTAGTGCCACCGCAGCATGGGAGTAAGAATTACGTCCAGGAGCAAATGGATAAAAATAGACCACATGTATCGATACTCTTGCAGACGTATCGATGCATCGGATCGTCGGCTGTTGGATCGATGCATCGATACAAAACGATTATTATTTACACCCTATTTTCACTACCCCTTTGAAACCATGCAGAGAACGCTCCGAGCACGGTAACCGAGATGACTTAAGTGTAAATGGCACGCACAACTGAACCGGACCGCACCAGACACAACCAAAGTCTACTAAACTGGTAGTAGTTCATCAGTAAGGCTCGGCGTGGTTCAGTTCTGGCTCGGTTCTCAGTTAACAAAGAACGCATGAGCGGACCGCCTCATCTCCTTACAGTCAGCCTCCAGTAGTTGGGGGGTAATTTACATCAGTAAGTTGCTTGCCAACTGCCACAAAATAGAGGAAGAAGAACTTTAAACATTAATCAAAGGCCGTTTCTCAATATGTGTACTTGTGCATTCTGATGTGCTCGTGAAAGGTCATCATCCTCAGCCCTAGTATTGTTCCAATTCACAAAAACAAGAAGACAAAGAACGGACAAAGGCCTCGGATGTTGTTCTCGCCCCTCTCTCTTTACCCAGCATGCATCTGAGCAGACGTGTCTGTTCCTGAGATTGACAGCAGTCCCAGCATGCACTGCGACAGCAGCAGCTTCCAGGTTAGCGCTCACAGAGCTCAGAGTATTAAGTTAAAAGTTTACTTTTCTGTTGTTCAATAAAGGAACGTTTTAAGATCATTGAGGCGAGAACATTATATTTTTAAGCGTCACGATTTGGCCCATTTACCAATTTAATGCGGAATAAAAAAAAAAGTTGAGAGGACCGTGGCAACCCGCGGAGCTCCAATGCAGCTTCAGACGAGCCAAGCGTGTGGTGTCGTCACGAGTACGCTTCTGTTCCAATTGACCAATATTTATGCAGCGTGCTCCTGTTCTGAACATACTTGGCGAGGACACGAGTTCGTACTCGCGTTCTAGTGAATGGAGAAACGGCCAAAATCTTCTCAACATTAAATTTTAAAAAATGGCTTCAAAAGAGATTGGTGCGACCTGGGATGACGCCGAGACTGAGGCTCTTATTGCAATTTGGGCGGAGGACGGTATCCAGGTAATGTTGGGCGAAACGAAACATAATCACAAAATCTTTCCCTCTAGAGAGCAGTAATACCGTAGATCGTCACTAGGAGGCGAGGAACCGTGCTAGCGTTGTGTGTAAACGGTCATAAGGAACTGAGCCCGGCGCGGTTAACTGGTCTAAGCCCGGTCCAAACTGGGCACAGATCGGTTTTCAGAGGATAGTGTAAATGGGGGCTTGAGTTGCGGTTTGCAAGAACGCCACGCAGTATTTTTCATGACAGCAACAAGCCCCATGTTAGGCGATGAAGTATATGTTATTATCCCGCAGGCTAACAAAAGAGGCCAAAACAACCCCCATTCCAAAGGGGTGGACCCGTTGGTCCATTTCAATTTGCATGTTTCCTAAGGAAAAAAAAAAAGCTTAGTTTGACATCTCCAAAAACTAATTTCAGGATGATGCTTACTGTTTTTTATGGGACTCCAGCATACAGTGCACTTTGCCACGGTGTCATCATTCCTCACCATGGCCGGTTCTAGACAGGGGCCAATGGGGGCCAGTGCCCCAGTAACTTAAATTAAGTAAAAAATATGTAAAATTCCTACATTTTAAATGTATATTGACCTCAAAAGAAATTGAATTTTTGTTGAACCTCATTGAAAAGACATTTCCCTTTATGCAGCTCTCTTAATATATTTGAATCTCTTGCCCTGTTTTTTATTTCATGCTTTTCTGGGCCCCCATGAAAACACGCTGGCCCCCTTGTAAATTTGGTCTAGATCTGCCACTGTTCCTCCCCTCCACTAGACGTGGATATACTTTAGTACATTCTGCTATAAAATAAGTCCTATATTTTAGTTTTTTACTCGAGGATTCAACCTCTGCCGTTTTCCAGGATGCACAGCTTTGAGTGGTAACCAGGTGACTGCCAGAAAGTAAACTTATCGGATTGATCCAATCAGCTCTCTGATCAACCAGTCGCCTGGAACGCTGGTTGAACAGAGCATCACTTTGGACAGATACGCTGCACAGGTTTCACCGGCAACCTCCTCCCGATACCCCGCTCTCTTGTTGTTTGTGCACAATCACAGTAGTTCTAATCCGCACATGGTGCACAAATTATTGTACTGCCTGCCTGCTCTCACTAGCATTAAAAAAACACCGCCTCACATAGTCTAAAATCCGGGATAATTTTTATGTGACTCGCGGGCATCCGTCAACAACGACTTGGGATGTCTGTTTTGTTAGGCTAATGTATAAAACAACTCAATGTTATAACTGACATTTGAATTGAAAAAGCTTCCTGGATGGGAAGCGAAACGTCTTTAAACTTGGAAACAAAGTCCAGTGGATTGGTTTTTTTTTTACTGTTTTTGAAATGACTAACTCCCAGATTCCACGTACTCCGTCAGCGCTCCGATCACGTACGTCATGCAGAGTATTTTCTGTCATGTTAATCAATGATAGCATTTCCACGTCCACCGCTAGTCCTCCGCACCTCACTGTCCACGTACGTCTCCTCCATTCTTCACCGCCAAAATATGGAGTCAAGCTATTTTTTGCGTGGAATTTGGAATCTCACCAAACAGGAAAGAAACTCAAGAAGATCCGGTTTGTCAAATTAAAATATAGTAACGACAGGTCAGGAACTATAAATATTCCCAAAAACTAAGTTTAATTAAATGATTGGATGCAAACTATTGGTACTTTAACATACCAGGAAGCAGATTTCTCATTTCAATCAAAAGGCTTAAAAGTTTAATCAAATCCAGTCACAAGAACTTCCAAGAGAGCATCTCACAACTTCAAAACAAACTTCTTATCGCAGGCATGGATGAAGAGATGCTAAGTTAGGAAATAGAGAACAAACTTAGTTTATACAAAGCATGTATGATCGTAGTTATCCCAGTTACAAAAATCCACAACAAAAAGAAAATATTTGGGCAGAAACTGCATGTCCTGGATGCTGATGGGGATTTTTTTATGTCGTATAACATTAAGCGTTCTTTTGCGCATGTTTTGCTCCTTTGAATTGAATAATAATATAGCGCATGCTCTGCTAGGAGGGGCGCATGATGGGAGGAAGAGCGGAGGCTGTAGGCTTTGCTTTGCGCAGTCTGGAGCGAAGCGGGGCGGTGATGGAGGATGTGGGATTTCGCAGTAAGGTGGAGCGGATTAAAAAGGACTTTTCAGAAGCTCCCTGTATGATCAGAATGATCTTCAGCTGATTTATAAAGAACATTTAACCCAAAAAGAGTTTTATTTGTACTTCAAACCCCATCTACGGTCCTCCCTCCACTTCAGCTAAGCTCTAGTTCAGATGTAAGACGCTGATAAGGATACTGGTAATGATGGATTCCTCCTTAACGTTCTCCTCTACTGACTACATCCAGCACATCGGTTCTACTCTGGCCAGCCTGAGCCCCTGCTCCATCCCTCAGAGGTTGTACCGCCAGGCCCAGTCGCTGCTGCGCTCGCTGCTCCCCTGGTCCAACATCGCTTCAAAAACCGGCATCCAGTACAGCAGGACCATGTGACGCGGAACAACCAACGGCGCCTCCGTTCTGCCGGCTGCCTGAGCCTCTTTGTCTGTTTTTAATGTCATGTTTTTTATTTTTAGGAGCCTCCGTCAGTCTTCCCCTGTACAGACCAAGTTCACCACATTCTTTCTCTCTCATGCCTTCCCTCTTCCTGCGTGCACCATAAAGGACTCAGGTTCAACATCTCCTCATTCTCCACCACATCTGGTCCTAAACCTGCAGCCTAAACAGGGTCGTATTTTTAGTAGCTGCAGGCGATTTTTGGAGGAAAAGCCGCAGCTTTTCTAGTTATTCACTTCCTGTATTTGGATATAGATATAACACTACGCCACTGAGGTCATCACCCTGTCTGTAAATTCACCGCGTTATCTAAGGAAGCTGAGATTATTCACTGGATGAACAGACCCATAATGAGACTGAAGTTTTACCGTTACCATATCTCCTTTATCTTGTCAGATACTATGTATTCTATTTGTATATATATTATATTTAGCTAATATATAAATCTATCTTAAAATGTTTGTGGATTCTATTGTATGTCGCTGGGCTCAGTTGGATGAACATCCATCCCATAATTCCCCTTTTTTAGAGTAAATTTAAGCCTGAATTAATTTAGTTTTTATAAATTGGCACAAAAATAATCCATTATTGTTAAGCTGGTTATATGTAATTTAGTAGAAATAAAATGTTATTAAACTAAAACGGAGAAAGTGGGACATTTGTTTTAAATTTCTGCTTTAAAATCTGTTGTTTTGGGGTTTTTTTGTTAGCAGGCAGATTATAGTTGATCCACATTCATTTCTCGGTTTTAGAGGTTTTAAAAGCTGAATCCCTCCTCTTCTAACTTTGCTGCTAATGTAAAGAAATTTCTAAATGTGAAGAAATAAAATCGACCCGGTTTAGATTTTTTATGTCGGCCTGTTAAAGAGATTAGAAGACATCAAAGCGTCCAGAGGACATTCAGGTGTGCGTTTGTTTCTCAGCACTGGGTTTGTCGTTCTGCTGCGTTTCATTCGCTTCACAGGGTCAGAAGTTTGATCTGTCAGACAAAAACTAAAGGTTTTTTACCTTAGAAACCGTTGATGGTTTCCTACCTGCAGTAGACAAATGTCTTGGTTACATCGACTTTGGTTCCAACACTTCATGTTAAACATTTAACAGATTATTTTACCCAGAGAACAACAGTTCTGGAAACAGGAAGTGAGGCAGTCAGGGTGGGAATAAATGAAAAAGAAAACTGAGTTTTCTACTGTAGGTAAGATATTGACTACTTCACTCACTCCGAGTATTTGAAGCTATTCTTTGAAATATTTTCCTGTTCAGGCTGTGAAACTATCAGGATTAGTTATTTGTAGAGTTCAGTGATCAGACCAAACTGGAAAAAATCGAAATCTAAAGTAATTTGTTTTTAAAATAAGTGCATTTGTTCTTGTATTGAGGAGGTAAAAGAGACATTTTGCTAATGGAACAAGACAAGTTACATTTAAAATAAGAAAACACAATTGCATTGTCTTATGTCAAGAGCATATTTTCTAATTATCTTATTTTAAGAATAAAAATACTAACTCATTGGTAAACTCATTTACCTGCTCAAATTAAAAGTAAATACACTTAATTTAAGAATTCTTTTCTTATTTCTAGATCGTTTTTTTCAATGCAGTTGCAGCAGATTAGTTCACGTTCCCACATTTTGGGACCTCGGCTAAAGAATAAAACATTGAGATGTTGGTCCAGTGAGAATATTATACCTTTTAGTTTAATATTTTATGTTTTCTGGTCATTTATTTGAATCTGGCCTGGACTTCCAGCTGTAAATGGGACACAGCGTGTGAGTGCCAAAAGCTAACAGTGACTTTATCAGTGAACAACACCCAGTTTGTTTTTATTTCATTTTATGCTTCTGAGGTTCTGGTTGGGGGGGGCTTATGCCCATAATCTACTGAGCAAATACAAGATTGATTGTGCTTTTTTTTTTTTTTTTACCTGGAATAAAGCTTTGGGGAGGTTTGGGTGACAGTGTGAATCATTAAAGTTTTCTGTTCTTTTTTTGTGGAAACCTGAACATTTCTCACTCTTCCTGCCCTTTGGAAGGTGATCCAAGTTATGTGCAGACTTTGTTTATGCAATAAATCTGTTTCATTTCAATTACTGCAGTCTTGGTCTCGTTTTAACCTGGTTCATCCTTGATTTTTCTCTCATCAAGTTAGGTGGGAAAAACTTTATGTATTTATTAACGAGGGGCCTATAGTAATCGTATTATTTTTAGCCTAAATGTTTCCTAGATGGCTTTTTGCCTGTAGAAGCTTAGATGGTCTCATTTACAGACGGGGACAAAATTGTTGGTTCCCCTCGTTTAACGGATAAAACATCTTCAATAGTTACAGAAAGGACTTTAATCTGATAAAAGTAAAAAAAATAATGGAAAGAAGAAAGTCAGCTATTGCTTATCAACCAGAGTTCAGAAAAATGATTAAAAAATGAAACAGACAAAATGATGGGAAAGAATCACCATCCTAAACCTCCATGTTTTTAATCCTTATTTCATATTGAAACACTTTTCCTATCGGTTTTATCTTTAAAAAAAACATTTCCAGCAAACTTTAACTTAAGCATCAGTTTTATATGATGAATTATATTCAGCATTGCGTATAAAAACTGAAACTAAGCTGTTCCTCCAGCAGCCTAAAGATGAGGCTGATGTTTTCTGAATAAAACAGAAAATATTTTGATGATTTAAAGAATCTAAAACATTACAAAAAATATATATTTTCACAGAAAATCCATAGTGAGTTTATCTACCGTAGAGTAACTACTGGTAAGGTATATTTTTATTTATTTATTTTTCACAAGATGTATCAGAATATTACCTTTGGTGAAAACGTATTAATCAAATGTTTTTTCTTAGGTGTTCTATGGCATTTCAAGGGGTAGCAATAGCGCCCCCTAGCGCCCCCACTGCCTGTATAACATGCGATTCCCAAAATAAACGCTCACATTTTAAACTATTTTTACCAAACTTAATTCATCAGGTAACTTATGTCCTTCTTTTAGCAACATACTGCTAGCAAAAACAGTTCATAACATAATAATAAATAAAATTAACATAATAATAAATATAAATAGAATAACAAAAATCTGTTCACACGGAGCTTTATTGTCTTTGCGCCCTGTTTCTGATGTTTACGGTAGGATATTTTTTGTCTCTCTTCCTGCTCTGGTTGTTACGGTAATAAGGCGTCATAACGGAGGTAACGCCCATTGAGAAAACTGGAGGGAGAGAGAGAGCAGTAGAGCGAGTATTTACGGTGCCTGGCTCCTGGAGAATGAACCTCATCCTCTCTGCTCTTTGTGCTATAGTGGGAAGACATAAAGCTTTATAGTTAACCAGCTGTGGGACCATTTTAACCGTCCTGGACGCTGTTTTCTGGTTTTAGGACCAACTGCTAGCTCTCAACTTGGTGGAATTAAGGTAAGTGATGCAATTAAAACAGTAAAAAAGCTCAACCTGCTGTTAGCTGAGTAACAATGTGTCTGAAGCTAGCTGCTAACTTTCAGCCTGAGTTCGCCTGACTTGATTTCTTTGCTAATTTTCTCGAGTGTTTAACTTTTTTCAAGCTGTTTGGGTTTGCTGATGCTCTCCGGTAACTTTAATTGGCGTTAAAGTTGTTAAACTCTGCTTTCCAATGCGGTCTGGGGTTTTCCTGGCGCGTGCTGGCGGTGGTTTCCTTCAGAAAGTGGGGGTGGGGGCGGAATACCAGGAACCATAGGCTGAGGGGGGGGGTCGGTCAGCGTGGGATCTGTGTGAGAAAGATGTTGGTCACAGAGTGGAAAAAGCTGAATAAATGTCAGAAAGAAGCTGTCACTGTGGCCCCACAGGACCAGGGTCCATTTCTCTGTGTGACACTTCAGGCCTGGAGATGATGGAACAAGAAACGCCTTCTGTGCACATCTGACATGCTTTAAATCAGATTTATTTATTTTCTTTTGAAATTATGACTTTTTAGAAACAGGACAGCACACTGGAAAAACGATCTAGAAATAAAATTTCTTAAATGAAGTTTATTTCCCCTTAATTTAAGTGGGTAAATTAGATTGTTTGCCAACAGAATGAAAATATTTACTCTTAAAATAAGATGATTAGATAATATGCACTTGAAATAAGACAATGCCATTGTGTTTTATTTTTTTTTCCAGTGTAAATTGTCTTGTTCAATTGACAAAATGTCTCTTTTTACCCAAGAACAAATGCACTTATTTTAAGAAAAAATAAATTTTTTCCAGAGGTGTCAAGTACTGACCTACAAATACTTCATTATTGTACTTAACTACACTTTTTAGGTATCTATACTTTACTCCATTACTTATTTTTCTTCCTGCTTCTGACTTCTATTCATTACATTTTTAAAACAAACATTACTCTTGGCTTCGGTTTAATGTTTATAAATATTTAATTCACCTCATGTGCGCCATCCAATGCAGATCATTGGCGCCATCCACATCTTGTGATAAATACACAGTAAATTTTGAAGTGTTGAAGCTGCACCTTAAGAGTGCATTTGCACTCTAAATTAGAACCATACGTAGTGTATATTTTACTCCAGTTGTTGTAATGACTCTAAAAGACTCTATGTACTTTGACACTGCATATTTAACACTGTAGAATTTACTGTGTAGTGTAATTGGATGATTCCTATAACGCAAACACTAATTGGTTAGCTAAAGGAAATCATCAGAAGCAAGCAGGTGTTCTTCAAACTGCAAACGTGAATTGTCTATGCCATGCTACAATGTCGGATTCAGAAAAAGATGCTAAAATGTCTGAAAGGTCAGACACAGGCGAGGGCGTATCGGGAGACTGAGACCAACAAGACCTCCCTCATCCTTGGTCCTTTCTTAAAGAATTTTACAAAATAGTCGAAAAATTGAGCTTTCAATTCATATAGTGGCATCTGGCTGTTTTACCTTTAAAAAGTAACCTTTTTAAAGGTTACTTTATACTTTTATACTTTAGGTAGTTTTTTGAGCACATACCTTTTCACTTTTACTTGAGCAAAGAGGTCAAGTTGATACTTCAACTTTTACCAGAGTGTCTTTAAACTGCAGTATCTATACTTCTACTTAAGTAACAAATGTGTGTACTTTTGACACCAGTGATTTTTGTCCAGTGTAGTAGGTTTGTATGATGGCATGTTTTTATGTTTGGATGTGTTTGGGGTTTCCTTTCAGCTGGCATGAAGGTTAAAAGAAAAAAACAATACTCTTGACTGATTTTTATTTTCATCATTTTCTGGTTTTGTATCAAAAATGTAAACATGATTGTTTTTTGTTTTTTTTATCATCAAAGTGTCAGAAACAACCTTCCCTGTAGTAATCCTCAGCCACCATTCAGTAGATAATTGCATATCAAACATTAACTACTGTGATCTCAGTGAAGATAATTAATGGAATTGAGTAGTTGAGTATTGTACAAAAATAAAGAAAAAATTGATTTTTTTTCCATTTTGAAATCAAAATTGCATTTGAAACAATCATTCAGTTTGTTATAGAGACACTTTCCTGATTCACATATTTTATAAAACACCTGAACTGTTCGGTTTTTCTTTTTTTTTTCTTTTTCTTTTTCTGTCTTAATGTTCGCAGTGGGCTTTATGCTGCCCTGCAAGGCTTTAAACCTGGGTTTGAATGGAGACAAAGCCGTTCTAAAGCACAGATCAAGGTGCTCATTTTGACCCTGGATCCATATTTATTTTTGATTCTGTTCATGGTGGAGAATCCTGCTTCACAGCAGCAGGTTGAGCCAAACATACTCTAAATGTTCAGGGTTATCTTTGAGCACCATTTCACTTTTCTTTCACCAGTTCACCACAGTTCTTCCAGCAGTTCACACTTTCTCTGCTCTCTTTTTCTCATCATCTTCTCCTTCTTTCCCATCGCCCGGCTTTCCACAGGTTTGCCTGCTGTGTCTAAAAGTAGCAGCAGCAGCAACCCAGACTGACAGCAGCTCAATGGATCATTTGTATCACGCGCAGCCTGGTGACGGACGCTCCAGAGGGCTTTACCGTATTAACAGGAGAAGCAGCACAAGTGAATTTAGACGCTGAAATATTTATAAATGTTTTAAATCAAGTTGGATCTGGATCCTGCACCGCTAATCCATGACATTTGGCCTAGTGGTTAGAGCAGTGCTCTTGTGCTCTGAGAAGATTGCATGTACCCAGTTCCATCCCCACAGCCTCCACTCTGGGTCTCTGAGCAAAACCCTTAATCCCACACTGCTCCCTGGGCGCCGCACAATGACAGCCCACTGCTTCCCGAGAGGATGGGTTAAATGCAGAGAGTTCATTTTGTTGCTCTTTACTTATAACTTGTAATAACAATAAAACGCTGGAAAAAGGGGAAGAAAAAAAAGATTTCCCAACATTGGAGCGTATAAGGTCAGGAGCCTTTGACCAACCCGTGCAAAGTCTGTATAGATCATTAAAACTATGACTAACTCTATCTAGCTGTAAGCCACAGGTGACTGTCATGTGAGCCCTTTTGTCTGTTCTGCAACGCTGTTTAAAATAAATTAAAAAAATTGAATACTTAAAACTCTGTTGGAAGGTGTATTTGCATTAAAAGTTTTTAGAAGTTAATATTTCCAAGCCAAGATCAGGTTCAATAAATACAACATGAGTGGCCCCACCACGAACTGATCAGAGATACCTTTTTATAACAGAAATGGAAAATCTAATCTCTGAGTGAAAAGCAAACTGTGTTTTCATTTATGAAACAATGAAGAAGTTTAAATTGCAAAATAGAAAGTATACATTTTATGATTAAGATATAAAGTGTTTGTCAAAATGTTCTATCCAGAATTAATTGGATTAGTTTATAGCTTTACCTGGTTTCAATTCTGAATAAAATTTGTGTAAAGTAAACTTCCTGTTGGATTATTAATCAACAGATGAATTGGTTAATAAAGTAATCATTAGTCGGCGCTCTGCTCGTATCTCACTGGAAGTGCATGCTGCCTGTCAGGCCGCATCGATTCTCTTCACACCATTGGTCTGTTCTGGTCAGACCGGAAGAGAGACACCATGAAAAAGTAGTTTCCCCGTTTGGAAACGCATGGTGCTAACATAGAAAAATGGGGACAGACCTGGATATACATGATTGATTACTAATCAATAAACGGATTATCTATAGAAACTCAGAGGGATAAATAAAGTGTGATAGAATCATCTTTTAAAAACAAGAAAATACCTGTAGAAAAATAAGGAGGAAATTGTGGGACATGCGCCACTGTCTTTAACTGTAATTAATTTAAACGTAACCCCAGAAAGCTCGGTTAGCAACACTTGGGGCTGAGCTGCTGCATAGATTTTTATCGGTCAATCGTGTGTTTTGTTTCTAGAGATTTAATTTTTGGAGAATCAATATATTTTTCCCTCTACTTCCCTCCTTGGGCTTCCAGAGCTCAGAGTAATTCAATTCATCTCTTTCTCGTTTATTTTCCAGATAAACTATCTTTCTTTGTGGGAAATGTATATAATTTGTTATTTTTATTATGAAAATTAAGTTTTAAAAAGTGATTAATTGGATTTTGTACAAGGGGGGGGGGGAATATAGAATCTGGTTCAGGGGTTGACGTTAAGGATTTTTCTTTCACATTTCATTTGCCCAGAAACAATTTTTACTTGCCCAGTATAATGTTTGATAAATATAGTTCCTAATATTAATTTTTGTACATATATCAATGTTTTTTTAAATGGTTTTGTAGTTCAGTATTTTTTAAGTTTCCAGGTTCCTGGTGTGTATATGCATGCGTCAGATAATAAACTCAAGCCTACATTACCGTGTTAACATGCTTTTCAATCCTTCCTGCACATTCTTTTCAAACTAAACTTTGCTTTAAACTGTTGTGTGCTTGGAAAAATATAAATTGTAATGTTAAAAATCTAAAAAAAAAAAAAAAACTTGACAGGTTAAAAACTTAAGATAAATCACAAGACAAAAGTCAATGTCACAAATGAATAACTTTTATTTTAGAGTCACGGTATGTTTATACAAGATAATACTATTAATATAATGTGACTTTTCTAGAGAATCATTATACATAGTTATTTTATACAGGGTTTCCACAGTCTCACATCATTTCATAATTCCCTGACTTTTAACTGACTCGGGATTAGTTTTCCCTGACAAAATAAATGCAGCAACAAGACAATAATATAACAGGTCACCAATTTAACATGTTTAGCTCTATAACATTTAAATGCACCTCTCCAATGTCTAAGAGAAAAAATATTAATGAACATTTTTTAATGTATGACCTGCATCACTGTACAGAAGACTGCCATATTTGCACTGTGCGCATGGCATACAATTATGGCAATTTTTCTAATTCCTGACCGATCATTTTTAATCTAGGGTTATCTTGGTGGTGGGTGAAATGGGGGGAGGGTAAAATAGGTGATGGGTGTGTAA